AGTTCTTTTCCCCAGATGGTAGCACAAGGAGAAATTAAAATGATTAAAGTGTTGTACCCAACAGACTTACTTGAGTGACAATTGCCGGGGTGTTTTTAAGGCCTCTAGGTTTTTATGATCTGTCCACACCTCAAAAGGGTGTTTTGCCCCTTCGAGGAAATGCCTCCAAGTTTGTAAGGCCCATCGGACAGCAAATGCTTCCTTCTCCCATATTGCCCATCTTCTTTCAGTTTCCGTTTCTGTTTGTCTTTAGCAGATCAGTAATGGATAACACAATTTTAGCAAAGGCGGGGCTGAATTGTCAATAAAAGTTCGCAAAACCTAGAAAGCTTTGCAGCTGCTTTCTGGTGCATGGGCGCACCCACTCCATGACTGCCCAAACTTTCTCTGGGTCCATTTCTATCCCCTCATGCAATATGCGGTAACCCAAATAGTCAATCTTAGTCTGGTGAAATTTGCACTTTGACAATTTGGCATACAGTTCACCAGCCCTAAGTTTTTTCAGGACTGATCACACTAACTTTACATGTTCCTCCATGGTTTCAGGAAAAATAAGGATATCATCTACATAGACCAGGACCGCCTTGTAAAGGTGTTCATGCAGCAGCTCATTTATCAGTTGCATACAGCTGGTGCTCCTTGTAATCCCTCAGGTCCCAATATTCCTTTGGAATTTTTTCCTCTCCAAGTATGTGTTTGCTTGCTATTGCTGCCAGCTCCCTTGCAGCTTTGGCTATGCATGGGGGATTTTCTCTCCCTCTCCCTGGCTGGGTGGAATGGATGCATAACAGTCCCTTCCTCCAGTTCACGTGAGGATTCCATTTCCAGAGCCAGAGTAATCAGAGCAAGAGGGGTTGTTCCATTCCAGGGGCTATGATGAAACTCAAAGTCTCTCGGTGATCCCTGAGAGATCTCTACTGTTCCATCACAAAATGAGCTGCCTCCCCCCACCCCCAGCTACCGACCCATCCAACTGGCAAAACTGTATGGGCACTTTCATTGTTCTCACTCTCAGTCTTAATTTCTCCATCACCTCTGGGCTAATTACGCATCTTGTACACCCAGAATCCAAAAGAACTAGCATCTTCCCTTGGGCGCTGGATGAAGACACCCTTAATTCCACTGGGATGTTCATGGGGCCCACATGCTGACTTACTAGGGGGTTGTTGTTGGAATCAGTTTCACTCTCCCTTGGGGTTGTCGGAGTTCCCAGATCCTCCTGGCCCAGAGGAGCAAACTTGACTACTTCCATGCCTTTCAGGGCTGTTTCGCGGTGTTTTGCTGGTGGCTTTTTGGTTTTCTTGCCTCCAGCTGATGTTGCTTTAGAGCCAGGCTTGGTGAGGCAATCAACAACTCAATGCGCCTCCTTCCCACATCTGAAGCATGCCTTGGATCTGGATTTGGCCATTGGCCCACCTTTGGTAGCTCTAGTGGCTCTTTTGGGGCAGAAGGGAAAGACTTGTTCCAGCTGTGGTCCCCACAGTACCAGTATCTGGCCAGGTTAATTTCCACTTCTGCTGCCAACACATACCAGCACTGAAGGTCTTGGGGGGGGGGGCCTCGGGAGATACAGCATTGGTAGACCTCATCATTGAGCCCATCTTTGTAAGATTCTATCAGAGCCTCTTGGGATCACCCATGCATGTGGCAAGCCAGCTCGTGAAACTCCTAGGTGTATTCAGCCACTGCCCCGGTTTATGGTCTTCACCCTGATCCTTGCCTTACGTTCAGCTAGGAGGGCCATCATAAACAGATCATTATCTCTCAGCTGGGGGTCATCATCATTGTGAAGGGTGACCATCCACTTAGCTGCAGTCCCTTCCAGGGCCATGGTGAAACACCTCACTTTGGCTGCTTCTGAAACAAGATCCTCCCCATACTCCTGCATGTGATTCCAAACTTGGGCCGGGAAAAATTCCAGAACTTTGGGATCCTCTTGGTATTTTACTTGCAGCTGAGGAACCTTTGGAATTTCGTGCCTCCAGGGGACACTCCTCTCCACCAGGGGGCACCTAGGCTGCAGCATCTGCTTGAATGCCTGCAGCCTGAGCTGGCCCTGGCCGAGCTATAGGAATCACTTCTGGGTTTGCAGAGGTTTCTGCTCCCCCTGCTGCTTCCCCAGCCTCTTTGCATGCCAGCAGGCCATACCTTTCCTCAATGGTCCCCCTGAGCTCTCCAACTTTCAAGAGCTTTGTGCAGAAGGTGCACAGCCTGGGTCAGCAGGAGGTCTTCTTTGTCAGCTTCCTGCCAGGCAGCCTATCCTCACCGGTATCTGGCAGCAGTTACCCCAGGGGGGAGCTCCTCCAGAATTTCTATTCATCTTTTGTCCAATGACCATTCGGCTTGGACCGGTTTCTCTTCAAGCTGCTATTCTGACAGCCACTTGATCTCCTCTCAACCACAGTGGGACTTGGGTGGGTTGACCCTGCAGCTCCCATATCCTCTTGATTGCTGCCGTGGGTAAACATTCTTTGCTCAGCCCCCACAGTAGACTTGGTCTCTGGGTTGGCTGATAAAACAGATCTTGCTTAATGTCAGGCATGCCTCCGTTCAGAACCCAAGAAAGAAAACACCCAACTCCATGTTTGTAGAGAAGAGATACTTTTACTGAGTTTGAAATGATAGTAGTGAAAGAAAAGCAAGATCTGAACCAAAAGGCATGAAAGTTATATATTGAAAGTTTCCCCAAATTCCTCCCCCCCAAGGACCCAGGCTGAATGTCCAATACCCATCCCATATGATATCATGTGGGTCACATTTTCAGGTGTTTTTGTCCATCTGGTATTCCGGGATGGTTGATCTTGCCTGGGTATAAACATCTCCATTCAGCTGCGCAATAGATCATGAGAGCATCCCTCCCTTTTTGTTCACACAGGCTGTTTTCACTCCAGCTCACTTCCCCACCCAAATGCCAATCCCCCACCCCCCATACTATGGCAGCCAATAGCAAACAAGCTCAATGTCATTACTCATGACAGTAATGGTGAATCATTTCCATACTTTTGTCAAGGAAACTGTCTGATGAAATAACTTAGTATCAAAGATATTTATTTAGAAAGTATATAATCTCTTTAGGTTTCAGTTAAAAAATAAGTTTTCAGAATTTTCATTTATATGTAGGAACAGTATTAATGGTTAGGTATTCTCTTGTAATTTTTGTATTTTGTATTTTTGTATTATGAAATAATATTAAAATATTATTTCAATCAATCTTTTGAGGTTTTTAAGTAAATAGGTTTTTATTCAAATCTGTCAAAGGTATTTTTTTTCTTTTTTGAATAAGGCAGAATATAGTATATAGAACATTTGAATAATCCTTTTGAGATAAAAGTTCCCATGTGCAAACATATAGCAATAATTTCTTACTGTTCTTTGTTCTGAAAAGAAATGCTTTCTATATACCGTATTTTTCAGACTATAAGACACACCGGTGTATAAAATACTCCAAGATTTCAAAGAGGTAAGTAAGAAAAAAAAGGGTTTTGTCCTTCCTGGTCCCCAGGAGCACTCTGCAGGCCTCCGAAACCCCCTGTGCGCACCATTTTTCGCAAAAATGGACCCGTTTTTCACCCATTTTTTGCAAAAACTGGCATGTTTGCCCTCATGGACCACCAGGACCACTCTGCAGGCCTCCCAAACCCTCTGTGTGCCCTGTTTTTTGCAAAAATGGGGCCATTTTTTGCCCATTTTTCACAAAAACGGGGGTGTTTTTGCCCTCCACCATCCCCCAGGAGTTTTGCCCTCCACCATCCCCCAGAGGCCCTCTGCAGGCCTCCCAAACCCTCTGTGTGCCCTGTTTTTCACAAAAATGGGCAAAAAATGGGCCCGTTTTTGCAAACAACATGTGGAGGGTTTGGGAGGCCTGCAGAGTGCTCCTGGGGGCTGGGGGTGGGCAAAAACAGCCCCATTTTTGTGAAAAATGGGCCCATTTTTTGCAAAAATAGGGGTGTTTTTGCCCTCCCCAACCCCAGAAGCACTCTGCAGGCCTCCCAAACCCTCTGCGCGCCCTATTTTTCAGAAAAACGAGCCCATTTTTTGCAAAAATGGAACGAGTGGGGCAGGGCTTTGGGAGGCCAAAAATGGCTGTATTCGGTGTATAAGACACACCAACATTTCCACCTTCTTTTAGTGGGAAAAAAGTGCATCTTATACTCTGAAAAATATGGTATATAGAGTATATATATCTCTTAAAATGTATGCATCCTTTATAATTGTCAGTTCATTTGTATAAGCTAATTTAGCTCTTACTAGATCTATATATTATATCTTAGGTATTTCATCTCATCATATTATTTTTATGGCATGTTCAGATAAGCAGGAAAGGCCCTCTTTAAGAATTTTTCCATTCTGTGATAACAACTAGCAGGTATTAAATTGACTGCTTTCTCCTACCTAGCCTGCAAGTAAGTAGTTAAAGTATTGGACTAAATCTCCAGGTTACTGGAGAACTTCTATTGTGATCTATGCTAATAAAAATCTTGGGCTAAATAAACAACAGGATTGTTTATACAAGTAATTGTTTGAAAAGTAAAGGGTGAATGCACAATGATTAAGTGTGTTCTAATATCCTACAGTATTAACAGTGATGCTGAGATACAAATGTTGCATACAGCTGCTTGTGAAGAACTCTGTTTAATTGGCTCCAATGTCGATCTAGTCCAGTGTTTCTCACCTTTGGCCACTTTAAGATGTAAATTTCAACTCATGCTACCTGGGGAATTCTGGGAATTGAAGTCCACATGTCTTAAAGTGGCCAAGATTGAGAAACATTGATTTAGACTTAACAATGCATCCTGCAGTAGGCAACCAAATTTATGAAAAGAGAAGGGAGCCTGGTCCTCAATCATCCTGTTCAGTCATCTGCAGCAACAAATGATCTTAGCTCACTCTACATTTTCTATAGTTAAAAAATAGCTAATACTTTCTAAAAGTTAGATTACTTTTTTCTTTTTTTAATGCTCTTATGCCTTAATTTACCAATTATTTTATTTGTAATTTAGGTGGCTGTGATACTATCCCAGAGTCTGATTTTGAGGAAAGACCAGCCACACAAAACTCAACAAATTTTGTCAATTACAGAAATCTGGATAAGCAAGATAACAAACCTGGTAAGATGAATGAATTTTCCATAGGGCAATTATCATAAAAATGTTTCATGATAAAGTTTCATGATAAAGTTTCATGATAAAGTTTTTCAGACCCTGTCAATTTTTGCATATAGGAACATTAATTGTTTTTTACTACAGGGTTCCAAGCAAGCAATGATGAATCTGGGTTTCTCAAGGCCCTTTGTATAAGATGCTTAGAATTAGCTTCACATCTGGAGTTGGTCCATTCTTCCTAGTCTCTCTAATATCTTCCAGTTTTAACTGCCTACTCATTTTGGGCAAAGTTTGCACTCTCGAGAGAGATCATCCAAGGTGTTCCGTGTTGAAAAGCAAGTTTTTAATCCAAGGGTATTCTTGGTCTCATGGCTTCTTTGTAGAGCAAGCAATATATTCCAATCAAACGGTGAAAGTGATAGTAAACGGAGAAATAACAGAAAATTTTAACATAAACAAGGGTACAAGACAAGGATGTCTACTATCCCCTCTTTTATTTATACTAACCCTAGAGGTCTTACTTAGACAGACCAGAGAAGACCCAGAAATAAAAGATTTGAAGATTAAAAAAAGAACAACACAAAGTACAAGTTTTTGCAGATGACCTAGTATTTATTTTGGAGGAACCCCTAGAAATAGGACCCAAATTAATAAAGCAAATAGAAGAATTTGGTGCAGTGGCAGGACTTAAAATAAACAAGGAAAAGACCAAGATATTGACAAAGAACTTTACAAATAAACAGAAAATCATACTGACGGAAAAGTTGGATATGCAGATAACTAAAAAAGTTAAATACCTGGGAATTTGGCTGACAACAAGATGTACATCCATTAAAGAAGACAACTATACTAAATTAATACAGCAAATAAAGACAGATCTGGACAAATGCAAAAATTTACAGCTGTTGTTGGTCAGAAGGATAGCCACAACAAAAACAAATATTCTACCGAAATTGCTATTTTTGTTTCAAGTAATTCCAATAAAATTAGGAAAAAACTTTTTTGAAGATTTAAATAGACTGACGTTAAAGTTCATCTGGCAAGGCAAAAAACTAAGAATCAAATTGAAAATGCTACAAGATACCAAAAACAAGGGAGGTTTGGGCTACCGGACTGGGAGCTGTATTATCAGGCCTCAGTGCTCACATGGGTGAAGAAGTAGATAAATTTGAAGAACAAAAGAATATTGACAAGAGAAAGGCATGATTTACAATTGGGGTGGCATGCATTTGTATGGTACAGGAAAAGTAAACCACATAGATACTTCCAAAGACACTATATTAGAAATGCTCTGTTGTCTGTATGGGAAAAAGTCAAACAGATTCACTATATGAAAATAGTGGTCTGGCTATTCTTGATGGAAGAACTAATATACCTTAATGTTTTAGATCTGGATAAAATTGTAAGGTACAAAGATACACTAAATGAACAAGGGGTTTTAAAATCAAAACAGGAAATAAAAAATCAGGGAATTGATTTGGACTGGTGGCCACATATTCAAATAGAAATGAGACATAAGAAAGATACAGAGATATATGGATTTTATAAGAAACCCCAAGAATTGGACAAGATACTGTTAGGGACAAATGAAAAACTAATAAAGAAAATTTATAATTACCTATTGAACTTTAAAATGGAAGAAGAATTTATAAAAGAAACCATGATAGCAAGGGCAAAATTTTTTGGGTATACTATATAATTAGATAATAGGCATAATAGGATAATTAGATAACAATGTCAACGGCATACAAAGAAAACCTGTACAAAATATATGTAAAAGATTTGAATTAAGAGATATATGTATGGGGGAGGAGGAAATGGTTAGATTATGAGTTGAAATTGTTAAATTAGGATTTATTATATAATTTTACAGCTGAATGTTGTTTTGAAATGCATAGTATAAGGGGGATATAATAATATTGTTAGAAGGGTGGAGATAGGTTAGCTTACTGATTGTTTAGTTTAGGAAAAGGGATATTATGCTATATTAATATACATAAAAGATTTGAATTAAGAGATATATGCATGGGTGAGGAGGAAATGGATAGATTATGAGCTGAATAGATGAAATTGCTAAATTAGGATTTATTATATAATTTTACAGTTGAATGTTGCTTTGAAATGTATAGTATAAGGGGGGATATAATAATATTGTTAGAAAGAAAGGGTCAGTATATGGGGGGTGGAGTAAAAGGATGGTAAAGTATTATATAATCTGTTATTAACTTGGGTTTTATTTTGGAGAAGCCACAGGGGGAGGGGAGGGGGGTTAGGGAGGAGGGGGGGAAAGGGGGGGATTTGTATTTGAAAAACTTTTTCAATAAAAAAAAAGAAAAAAAGAAAACCTATACAAAATGTTTTATAGATGGCACTTGCCACCAGCAAGAATGGCAAAAATGTTCCCAAATAAGTCACCAGAGTGTCGGAAATATAAACAGGTACCAGGATCCTATTATCATATCTGGTGGACCTGTCCAACAGCAAAAAAATATTGGTCAAAGATAAAAGGGTGGTTAGAAGGGATGACAGCACAACAAATAGATCTAAAACCAGAACTATTCTTATTAGGTATACTACCCGGGAAATAAAATAAAAGAATCACATACTTAATGTTACATGTAATAACAGCTGCTAGAATCACATATGCACAAAATTGGAAAAATGAAAGTATACCTATAGATGAAAAAGTAATAAAGAAAATATTAGAATGAATTGGACAGGTTAATGATGGAACTTAAAGATAAAGAGGAATCAGAATATTATTTAACATATCTAACAAATGGTTAGATAACAGGTGCAGAGATTAATAACTTAATAACGAAAAAGATCAACAAAATAGAAATAGATATAGTTATATAGATATAGATATATATAAGAATAAATACCATAAGCAATAGTACTATTGGACTGTATGCGACTATAGAGACTATACAGTGATAAATGTATAGAACATATGGTACAACTATGAAAATAATGGTTATAACTATGACGTACAACAAAAGAGACTATATTGTGTGACTACGAGAATAATGGTTATACTCTTAAAAAGGACTTCATACAGCCAGTACACTGTCGTTGCAAAACTGAAAATGTGATGTTTAATAAAGGAAAATGTATAATAAAAATATTATTTAAAAGAAGAAGAAGCTGTAGCTGATTGAGAATGCAATACTCTTAAGTGGTAATGGCATATCAGACATTGTCAAACATTGTTTGATTTGCACTAGTACCTTATGATTCTTGACGAACTTATCTTTTCTTTTATGTACACTGAGAGTGTATGCACCAAGACAAATTCCTTGTGTGTCCAATCACACTTGGCCAATAAAGAATTCTATTCTGTTCTGTTCTGTCCTGTCCTGTCCTGTCCTGTCCTGACCTGTCCTGTTCTATTCTATTCTGTTCTATTCTATATTACCCAGAGTTAGATTTTTTAAGTGCTTCTGTTTAAATCGTATCATTCAATTTGATTAAGGAGGATATATTTGGTGCATGTTTTCATTCACTGAAAACTAAATGCAAAATATGGATATTTACTCACTGTGAATATCTAAAGCTTTGTTCTAAATTATGAATTTGAGTTTGTCTGATCTGCACTTTAGCAGTGATAAAATGAGATTTCCTACATGAAATATTAGCTGTGTTGTATACATTTCTTCTTTACAACGCTCAAATAATAATAATAATAAATAATAATAATAATTTAATTTGTATACTGCCCTACTCCCGAAGGACTCAGGGCGGTGAACAGGCACAGAATAAAACATGTAAAATACAAAAATTAAGAACAGAAATAAAATTGAATTAAATCAATTTAGCCCAAGACAAATTTAAAACCCCAGGTTAAGAACAAATTAAAATTTACATTAAAATTTACATTAAAAAAAGAATGGGAAAGGTTAGGCCAGACCAGCCTGGTGAAATAAAAAGGTCTTAAGAGCGCGGCGGAAGGTGCATAGATCTGGGATCCTCTGTATCTCCGGGGAGAGCTCGTTCCAGATAGTAGGTGCCCCCACAGAGAAGGCTCTCCCCCTGGGGGCCGCCAGCCGACATTGTTTGGCCGACGGCACCTGGAGGAGTCCCTCTCTGTGAGAGTGTACTGGCCGGTGGGAGGCCGTTTGCGGCAGCAGGCGGTCCCGTAAATAACCAGGCCCTAAGCCATGGAGCGCTCTAAATGTGGTAACCAAAACCTTGAAGCACACCCGGAAGACCACCGGGAGTCAGTGCAGCTCGTGCAGGAGAGGTGTTACACGGGAGCGCCATGTTGCTCCCATAACCACCCGCGCGGCCGCACTCTGCACCAGTTGGAGCCTCCGGGTGCTCCTCAAGGGGAGCCCCATGTAGAGAGCATTGCAGTAGTCCAGACGGGAAGTGACAAGGGCATGAGTGACCATGCATAAGGAGTCCCGATCCAGAAAGGGACGTAACTGGCGAATCAGGCGAACCTGATGGAAAATCCTCCCGGTCACGGCCGTCAAGTGCTCTTCTAAAGACAGCCGTGAATCCAGGAGGGCCCCCAAGTTGCGAGCCCTCTCTGTGGGGGCCAGCGATTCGCCCCCGATAGTCAGCGATAGTGTCAACTGACTATATCGGGACGTTGGAAACCACAGCCACTCGGTCTTGGACGGATTGAGCCTGAGCCTGTTCCTTCCCATCCAGATCCGCATGGCCTCCAGGCACCAGGACATCACTTCAAGGGCATCGTTGGGGTGGTCCGGGGTGGAGATGTACAGCTGAGTATCGTCAGCATACTGATGGTACTTCACCCCGAAACCACGGATGATCTCATTCAGCGGCTTTACATAAATGTTGAACAGAAGGGGCGAGAGGACCGACCCTTGTGGCACCCCACATATAAGGTGCCTCGGGGTCGACCTCTGCCCTCCTGCCAACACAAACTGCGACCAGTTGGAAAGAAAGGAGCCTCAAAAGCCATTGAGTGATCTAATAGGACCAGGACAGAGGAGCAACCCCTGTCCCGAGCCCTCCAGAGATTATCCACCAACGCAACCAATGCCGTTTCTGTGCTGTACCCAGGCCTGAAGCCCGACTGGAACGGATCCAGATACGCCGTTTCATCCAGGTGCTGGGGAGCTGTCGTGCAACCACACTCTTAACAACCTTCGCAACAAAGCGAAGGTTGGAGACCGGACGATAATTCGACAACACTGCCGGGTCCAGGGAAGGCTTCTTGAGGAGAGGCCTCACCACTGCCTCTTTCAAGGCGGCGGGGAAGTCACCCTCACCCAATGAAGCATTTATAATCCTCTGGAGCCAGCCTCGCGTCACCTCCCGGGAAGCCAGCACTAACCAGGAGGGACACGGGTCCAACAAACATGTGGTTGCATTCAGTCTCCCCAGAATCCTGTCCACATCATCAGGAGTCACAGGATCAAACTCATCCCAGATAACATTCTCAAGACCTGCCCCAGTCATTCCCACTGAACCTACCCAGTCAGAGTCCAGATCTTCCCGAATCTGAGTGATTTTGTCATACAGATACTGTACAAAGTCCTCGGCTCTACCCTCCAAGGGGTCCTCCCGCGCTCCCTGGTGGAGTAAGGAGCGGGTCACCCTAAACAGGGCGGCCGGGCGATTATCTGATGAAACAATAAGAGCAGCAAAATAATTACATTTTGCTGCTTTATCGCCACTAGGTAATTCCTAATATGAGATCTTACCAGTGTCCGGTCGGATTCGGAAAGGCTGGCCCTCCAACTGCTCTCTAGGCGTCTTTTCCGGCACTTCATCTCCCTCAGCTCCTCAGTGAACCAGGGAGCCAGGTGAGATCGGCGCTGGGTCAGAGGCTGCAAAGGCACGACCCGATCCAGAGCTCCAGCGGCTGACCTATCCCAGGCGACTAGTTCTCCAGTCGAGGCGTGTGCCAGAGCCTCAGGAAATGGCCCAAGCGCCATCTGGAACCTATCAGGTTCCATAAGGCGCCTGGGGCAGAACCATCTTACCGGTTCCGCCTCCCTGCGGCAGGGTGCAGCGGTTCGAAGGTCAAGGTGAAGGAGAGAGTGATCTGACCATGACAAGGGCTCGGTGACTATATCCCCTATCTCAAGATCACTCCACCACTGTCCAGAGACAAAAACTAAGTCCAGCGTGTTTCCCCCCATGTGGGTAGGGCCATGAATTAACTGGGTCAGGTCCATAGCTGTCATGGAAGCCATGAACTCCCGAGCCACCTCAGACGTCTCAACCACGGACGGCAGGTTGAAATGCCCCATGACCATAAGTCTAGGGGTATCAACCGCCACCGCGGCGATGATGTTTAGTAGCTCGGGCAGGGCTGCTGCCACGTGGCAGGGAGCCAGGTACGTGATCAGCACACCTATCTGAACCCCATGACCCCACTTCACAAGGAGGGACTCACAGCCTGCCGTCTGAAGGACAGTGGCCTCCCTCAGTCTAAGACCTTCTTTAATAATAACCGCTACCCCCCCTCCCCTCCCCTGTGGCCTCGGCTGATGAAATGCATGGAAACCTGGTGGGCACATTTCTACGAGGGGGACCCCCCCTAGGCCCAAACAGGTCTCCGTAATACCTGCCAGGTCCGCTCCCCCCTCCTGCACGAGATCACAGATGAGGGGGGCCTTATTTACTACAGACCTGGCATTGCACAGCATCAGCCGAAGGCCTGGGCCCTGAGGAACTGAGCAACCTGAGGAACGGGTGGAGCCTTGGGGGCTGGAGCGCGCTACCACTTGTAAACAGCGAACACACGCTCCCCTAACACGATATGGCCCCCTGCTCCCGCTGTATTTTAATGCTTTTTGTAAATGACACTGATTTCTGCACTGTACTATTCTATCATTCTTGACAGTATTAGGGATTTGGCTGAATAGATACACATTCTTTCTCTTTCTGCTCTTCACTTAGGATAGGTTGGATAACTATACATGATATGCTAAAAGATTATTTGAAATATTCATATATTAATGGTACCTCTGATTTGAAAGAAAAGGACAGTGTACTTGGAAGAGGGAGAGATCATTTACAAACTTAAATCCTGAAAATAAGAGATATAAACCTCAGTTAGAGTTTCTCTTCAAACTGGTTTGTCATTAATTTGGCTCATTCTTCTATTATAAAATGATAATATACTTAAA